CTTAGTGTTGAGATTTGAAGTAGGCAGTCACAAATTAAAGTTGATTACAATTTAAACAGCTGGTCAGTTATCTGTTGAATTCATCATAAATCCCGTTGAAACCATTCAGCGTTGCCTAAATCATTGACGTTGATTTCAACATGAGGGAAAATATAACAAGTTCTGAAAGGCTTACAACATTAGCTTCAGTTTATTCATTATGCAGAATAACCCCATAGCTGTCCATTACGTTAATAGATTTTGTTCTTTGCGAGTGAAAATTAAATTAGCTCCACAGTAATGCACCCCGCCAATCTCATATCCCAAATCTGTGTTGATAATTAATCCTTCTGGTGACGTGAATTGCAACCGGAAATCCTAAGTGAGCTGTATTCACAGTCGTATTTATTTACAAAATAGCAAGCTGCATTGTGGACATCAATTTGCATGTATACATTTCTTGTGTATACGATTGCATTCACCAGAGATGGCAAAATAAACTTAGCTGGAGGGAACACTTTGGATGTGTTTGCGATAAATCACAGAACCGTGTTGATAGAGGAATTAGAGCTGATGCAAAGTATGAAAATGGTACCTAGTCTTTTGGGAGGATGGGGGGGGAGGGGGTTAGAGAGAAGAAATCGTACCATGAGTTAGTGGTAAGATTAATGCTCCCGGCAAATCAACCACAAATTTCAGTGTGCGTACGTGATGTTACCGACATTGCTTGAGCATCGTCAGCATTCATTGTAGGTGTCTGAGACCGTTTCAGGCATGCAACTTTTCCTCGGATCTGCTGAATTCCTTGTTTTTTTTTAACTTATCATGAATGCCATGTTACAAATTGAAAAACACTGTACAAAGTGTGGTTTGGAATTTCCTCGTTTTTTTTCTAAATTCCCAGTTGCATGCCTGGCTTTTAAGATGTACCATTATGGAGTCACTCCTAATGTGACATTTTAAACCCAATGTTGATTCGCAAAGTGGCATTGCAATTTCACCTGAGGTTTAGTGAAATTCAAGAAGCTACGATCCCGGCCAAAATGGTTGGGACACTTGGAAATAACCTTAGCCTCCAACGGTCACCAACTCCCCCGCTCCCCTGGTCAATGTTGTTCTCTCCAGCGGATGGAGCACACACCGCGCAATGAGAGACAACATTGAGCGGGGGCTGGGGGGTTGGGGGCCCAGCTAGATTTGGCCAGGATTGTAGCCTTAGATAGTCCTAAGACTTTCAGTTTATGGTTTTGATGACTTCTGCATGTTACTTTTATTGAATATTTCTGGAATATAAAAAGATATGCCAACGTAGTGTCACTTCAGTTTAAAGGGAATATACATCATTTGCTTTTGCTGTAATTTTCAGAAATGGATGGAATTGGGGGGTTGGAAATATATAGCAAATATAGTTACACTGACTTTTTTGAGGGTTTGGGTTCGAAAATGCTATAAAAACCAAGAAAAACAATCATTTTCATGTAGTCTGGTTCCCTGACTCCATATAAGATGAAACAGAGCAGTTTACATACATTGGGGAATTGTAAGGTCAGGGAACCAGTCTAGTTGGCTCGTACCCGTTCATAGGTTTGTAATCGATTGCAAACAAGTACGGTGGTCAATTGGGGCCAGTATTTAAAAAAAAAGCAAGTTGTTTCCAACGCTGATCGGCCGATCAGCGTTGGAAATTGATACAAAAATACCACTTTTCTTGAAAATGACAGTATACCAGGTGCCATGATTTTACAGGATGCTTTACACTGTCCTTCACTAACAGTCCAGCAAGGTATTTCAAAATGATTTGGTAGTTTAATTTTTTGATGTTTGCAAATGTTGTATTTTCCCTTTAACTGTCTTATCGTCCCTGATAGGAACTAATTTTTAAGGGAATAATCTTTTTAAAAAAATGGCGAGTGTATATGGAAATGGTCTTTGTAGAAGAAAATAAAAAGTTAGTGTGTCTTTGGAAATACAAAGATATTTTTCTTGTGAAAAAGTGTCGAAAACAACAATTCTTTTGTAAATCTGGTGGAAATTGGAAATTATAAAATTGGTGTTAAAAAGACGGATGTAACACAGACAAAAAGTCACATGGCAATGACATCACTACCCCCTTTTTTTCTTAGAAATACTCAAACATGCTGCCGTAAAGCATCAGGAAGAGGAAGCAATCATTCGGTGTTTTTCTAATATTTTAAAAAATAATGTGTTTTTTTTTCTTCCAAAAATATAGCTTTGCATGGCTGCAAGCAGACCTTTTTTTTTTAAGCCCGATGTTGTCGCTTGCATTAAGCAGTAATGTGTATCACGCGTATCCTGTAGTTAAGTGATCCTGACTTACGAACGAGCTGATGAAAGCCGTCCATTTGCTGTAATTACCATGTTTTCCCCGCTTGCTTTTTTTCCAAGTGGATACGCAGCGGCCATATCATCATATGCCTTCAACGGAAATGATAACACGGTGTGCGTACAGAGCTGGAAGGCGATGAACTTTGACAGCCACTGTGCTGGAGAAATAGAAGAACCCCCCCCCCCCCCATTTTTTTTAAAATTACAAAGGTGAACATTTCCTGACGATTGGGACAGTTGACCAGTGTTATATTAGGCCATCAGCCTGGGGGTTTGGTCGGTATCATATAAGGGAAATAATGCTCATTGTGATTTTTTGCAAGGTATGCACCTCTGTAGTTTTGAAAATATATGATAGCATTGCAGCGGTGGCAGCTTTTTGGGTGCTATCACTTTTTTAAAAAAACATGGCGGCCAAAACATGCTTATTCCACATATAATTTATCCGGTAACAAGCATGTTGGTGGTCATTTTGAAAAAGAAAATTATAAGTGATAACATCAACAAAAAACTGCCACCACTTAGGCAGTCGGTCTCTGGTCAGACTGAAGTTCTGGAATCGATGCGACGACGCGGGTTTTTTTTTTTGGTGGCTTTTTTTTTTTTCAAGCTTGTATTGTACAGACAAGGTGGGTACTATTTTGCTTTTTTGTGTCCTCATTATACATTGGTGTCCTCCATAATTTGCCTTGGTGCCCTTTATCATTTGCCTTGGTGCAATTTCCCCATTCCTTGGTGCTCCTTGGTACAAAAATTTGAGGAGGCGCTGTTGTAGCTTCCGTGTTAATTTGAAAAAAAAAGAAGGTTGACGCGCATGATTAAAATCGACGCACACGCTGACCAGAGACCGAGTATTTTTTTTTGGCCTTACACTGCAAAGCTATCACACATTTTCCAACTCTATATGTGCATACCTTGCCAAAAATCGCTATGAGCAATGCTCCTTTCAATCATTTTATACCGGGGGCCCAATTTTTGGACCGAACCTGATAGCTATGGCCATATCATCATCTGCCTTCAACGGAAATGATAACCCAGAGTATGTACAAAGCTGGAAGGCAATGAACTTCCACAGCAACGGAACTGGAGAAAAAAAGGCACAAAAAAAACTATCAAAAAATGCACAGGTGAATATTTCCTGACAATTGGGACACACAGTTGACCAATGTTATTGTATAGAACTGTTACGCCATAAAAGTTTGGCATGATAACCAATATTTTTGTGTGTGTTTTAAAAGAAAAAGGTGGAATTAAAGGACGTTTTATTCAAGGGAATCAAAGATGATAAAAAATGAATCCAAACAGCTCTTGAAAGACACCCCCCCCCAAAAAAACTGCACAAAATCTACAGAATTTTGGATAGAAAGATAGAAGAACAAGAAGGAGAAAAAAGGGGGGGGGGAATCAGAACCAAAAACATGGCTGTTCCGGAAGTGTTCCGGAAAAGCAACAGGCCTATACCTAAAGCACACACAATACAATGAGTGATACCTACAGTTTTTTTTTTTTTTAAGGTTCATCAAATTATTCATTTACTGTAATTTCAAAGTGCAAGGGCAACCTTCTGTTGTTAACGACTTTACGTAGAACCAAAGGTCCTTTACCTGCCCAATAAGTTAACCTTGAATGCAAAATTACTTTCTGGCGCCAATCTTTCAATTGTGTGTATCTGAATAGAGGCGTTCTGCATCGTGCATTTGCAAGGCAGTTTCTGACCGAGTGAACACTCCTTTTGTGCTATCCAAAATGCAACCACAACTTCAATTTGTACAAAATCTGAGCAGGACAGGAAAAAAAGCTTTCATTCTTTTCAAAATCGACACAAATATTGAAGAGAACAATTGGACTTGTGTGGTCTACATGCGAATTGCACCAACTGCGATCAGATTGCTTTTAGTTGTCGGAACTTAGTTTACCTTCAGAAATCCAAGCGAGATGCAGGGTGGATCCAGGAATTTTTGCAGGGGGCAGAATGTCATCTTTTTTATTCTTACTATAATTGTTGTAATTTTTTTGTTTTGGTGCAAGGGGGGGGGGGGGATCGACCCCCCACCCCCCTCCCCCTTCTGGATTTCCCTTCACAATTATCAAAAAGAACAACTGCACCCCAAAACCTCTTTCCGTGCGGCTTATGCCAGTTAAAAGTTATGAAAAATGAAACATTGAGGCTGGACCCACGACCAAAACAAATCGTCATTTTCTTATTTGAAATCCCGCTTGAAACGAATACACAATATGGTTGATTCGGCAAAGTGTAATATCTTAGGGAAATAACTGGAACGGACTCACCGCAATCCATAGACACTGATAGAGTAAGACTCGTTCATAGCGAGCTGCCATCTTGGAACTCCTTTTATTTGATAACATGTAGTTCGTGCCATACGACATCTCCCCCTTTTCTAGAACAAAATAAACTGGTTAAGAAAACACATTTACAATGCACATGATTGAGTTTGGGTGTTCAATGTTAGAAAGTGTCTGCAAAATGTTGAGTGTTCCAAATCAGCTCCTAGAGTCCAATGTTCTTGGTTCAAGCAGATTTCTAGAGTTCTTGAATTAAATCAGAATGAATTTGTAATTCAGAGATGAGTGCGAGATAATGCAAGATTGATTGATTTTAACCGAGTAATGAGTGATTGAGTGATTGAGTGATGGAGTGAGGACAGTTCAGTGTTCTAGTACATGACGTAATCCTGCTGCCATGCTGGTGGTTTCCTCATTCGCTGAGACTGTCTCACTCCCTGTTGCTGAGCATCTGGGTTTTGTTGGACTGGATCCTCCAGTTGGATCTCGAAGTCTGGCTCAGGTGGTGGTTGTGGCATCCGGACAATATGCCGCCTGTTCCGACGATATTCTGCGCCATTCACTCTCACGATGTAAGAACGGGGTGTGTCTGCTTTACAGAGGACCTCTCCGATTGGACCAAGTTTGCCCTTTGTTCTGATCTTCACCCGGGCTCCTGTTTCCAGTTGATCCAATGCCTTGGCGCCATGTTTCTGGTTGAAGTAGACTTCTCCCTTGGACTTGGATGCAGCGTCTGCTTGTTTCAACTTTGTCTGGTTGATTGGTTTCTGAAGGAGATTCTTGGGCAACATTGGTAGGGTAGTGCGTAACTCTCGGCCCATCATCAGACTTGCCGGACTGACACCAAGACTTGGAAGTGGGGTCGCGCGGTATGTCATGAGAGCTCGTATGGGATCTGGTTGACGCAGGATACTCTTGGCCACATGGACAGCTTTTTCGGCCTGCCCATTTGCTTGGGGATAGTGTGGACTGGTGGTAATGTGGTTGAAGCCAAACTCTCTAGCAAACTGTTGAAACTCTCCCAGGAATTGTGGGCCGTTATCTGATACAACAACTTCAGGGATCCCATATCGTGCAAAGGTAGTTTTCATGAAGTTGATGACTGCTAAGGCTGTTGTCTTCACAAGGTGATGAATCTTGATCCACCTCGAGTAGTAGTCAACGATCACTAAGTACACCTTCCCTTTCAGCTCTGCAAGATCGCACGCGATTCGTTGCCATGCTCGTTGGGGTAAAGGTGTTGACATCAGGGGTTCCGCCTTCTGTGCTGGTTGCTTTTCTCTACAAAACTCGCATTGTTGAATGTGCTGCGCGATGTCAGTACCGATTCCAGGCCACCATATGGCTTGATTTGCACGGAGTCGGCTCTTGGTGACCCCATGGTGACCCTCATGGAGTTTCTCCAGCATTTCCTGCTGCATCTTCTGTGGGATGATGATGCGGTCCCCATATGTCAGTATGCCGTTGATCTGGCTTATCTTATCTTGTTCCTCCCAGTATCGCTTGACATCAGGATCTACGTCCTTGATGTACTTCGGCCAGCCGTCTTTCACGTACGACGATACTAGGGACAATACGCTGTCTTGCACTGTCTCATCTGTGATTTCTGCAAGTTTGGCATCCGAGGCTGGCCACTGGCTTGTTACCATGCTCACGTGTGCTGCAATTTCTGCTGCGAGATCATCACTGTCATCAGATGTCTGGTCTGTATGAACTGGAGCTCTAGACAGGGTATCTGCAACGACTAGGGTCTTGCCTGGTGAGTAGACAGCTGTACAGTGGAATTTCATGAGGCGCATCAGTAAGCGCTGGCATCTCAGTGGTGCGTCACAGAGGTCCTTTGAATTGATCAAAGACACCAGTGGTTTGTGGTCGGTTTGTAGGGTCACGTGAAGTCCTCTGATATAGACATAAAATCTCTCGCATGCCCATACGCTGGCCAACAACTCTTTCTCGATTTGGGCATACTTTCTCTCAGCAGGAGTCAGGGTACGGGAGCAGTAAGCGACTGGCTTCCATGTCTCATCTTCGTGCTGCTGTAGTAAGCATCCTCCCAGCCCATAGCTACTGGCATCTGCGCTGACCATGGTAGGTTTAGCGGGATCATAGAAGGCCAATGTGGGTGATCTGGTGAGGAGTGTCTTGAGGTGTCGGAATGCAATCTTCTGTTGTGCTCCCCACATCCAGTCAACGTTGTCTTTCAGGAGATCAGTGATTGGGGCTGCAACTGATGCTGCGTTCGGGATGAAGCGGGACAACCAATTGACCATGCCCATGAGCCTCTTGACTTCATCCTTTGATGTTGGTGGGGGCATCTGAACGATTGCTGTGATCTTCGAAGGATCAGCATGTATACCATCCTTGTCTAGCTGTAGACCCAGAAAGGTAACCGTCTCTTGAGAAAACTTTGATTTCTCTTTGTTTAGCCGCAAGCCAGCTTTCTGTAGGATTTGGACTACACGATGCACACGTTGATCGTGCTCTGCCTGTGTTCGGCCGGTGATGAGAATATCATCCATGTAGACAACTACACCATCCAGATTGACGAGTAGGTCACACATAATACGCTGATACAACTCAGGCGCTGATGTGATGCCGAAAGGGAGTCGCGTAAAACAGAAACGCCCAAATGGAGTTATGAAGGTTGTCAATTTCTGACTGTCACTAGCAAGGGGTATCTGCCAAAACCCGTGCTTTGCATCGAGTAAGGAGAACACTTGTGCACCAACAATCTTTCCCAAAACCTCTTCCAGGCTGGGGATAGTGAAACGCTCCCTCTGCACAGCTTTATTCAGTTGTCGCAGATCTACACAGAGTCGAATCTGGTTGTTCTTCTTGGGTACAATCACGATTGGAGCACACCACTCTGTCGGCTCAGTGATGCGCTTCACGATACCTTGGGTTTCCATCTTTTCCAGTTCTTGCTTCAACTGGGGAAGTAGGGGCAAGGGGATTCTGCGAGGAGCGGTCACACAGTATGGAGTAGCGGAGTCGGTTAACTTTATGTTAACCGGTGGGCCTTCAAGACAACCCGTGCCTTCAAACACGTTGTCTCGGTTCACCATGGTGTACACCCGCTGTATCAGACCAAGTGCTTCACATGCTGTCTTGCCAATGACAGGCTGACCACTGGCAAGAATCTGGAACACCAACGAGTACTGACGATTCTTCATTTCACATGACAGTTTCTTTTGTCCAAGAGGTTTGGCCTTGCCACCAAAGTAGCCATGCAAGCGAAGTGTCGTTGGCTGCAATGTCTTATCACTGAGTTTCAGTGATTTGTACACGTTAGCGGGTAGGATGTTGACTTCCGAACCTGTATCTAGCAGGAACTGCACCATCTGTCCCTGCACTTTGATAGGTTGTCTCCACACATCACCATTTAGTGTATCATGGCTGGTGTGATGCACTGTTCCAACGAAGAAATCATTAGTTTCAGTGTCCCCATCATCGCTGTCAGTTGGATCGTGCTGTACTGTATGCAACTTCTTCGGTTTAGCGCGACACACTACCGAGAAGTGACCAAAGTTTCTGGCAGTAGTTACACTTTTGTCCACTTGCTGGACAGGATTGGTGGCTTGGATCTCTGCCGCATCTACTGCATCTCTTCCCGCCTTGTTGAGGTTTGGCACGTGTCTGTGGGGGTGGCTGTTTGAACGATGGCTTGTACGGTTGCTTGTACGGTTGCTTGGCGTTTCGGTGTAGTGCGTGAACTGATACTGTGTCGGCATTAGGGCTGTTCTTAAATTCACGCAAGTCCTTGACAGCTGTTTCAAGGGTTTTGGCCAAGTCCACGGCTGCTTTGAAGGTGAGACCATCTTTGGTGAGAAGATGTTTCTGGATATTGTTGCTGGTCAGACCACACACAAGCCTGTCTCGCAATGCGTCGTCGAGAAACTGGCCAAATTTACATGTACTGGCCAAGTTTTGAAGTGTCATGGCATACTGTGCAATGGTCTCTGATGGCTGTTGATCCCTTTTGTAGAAGCGAAAACGCTCTGACACAACCAGGCGTTTGGGTCCATAGTGGGCGATCAACAACTCACACAGTTCTGTGTATGTTTTCTCAGTTACTGGGGTTGGCTCTGCAAGACTTTTAGCAGTTTTATACACAGTTGGACCGACTGCACTTAACAGAACAGCTGTCTTTTTCTCCTGAGCAATGTCATTTGCTTGAAAATACAAGTTCAGCCGCTCAACATAGTTACGGATATCTTCCACCTCATCATATTTGTCGAGGCGACCGATCAGCGGTGCGCGAGAGTGCGCCCCCTGTTGTGGAGTTTGTGCCATTGTTCTGAACCGTCACTCGTGCGGTGAATTTCCGACGTAAAAATGCCCTTGTTACGTGTCCAAAAAGTCAAGTGACGTTAGAATACTATGCCCTAAATGTCCGCGGGTATATTAGAAACCCAGCGCTGCCACCATGTAATATCTTAGGGAAATAACTGGAACGGACTCACCGCAATCCATAGACACTGATAGAGTAAGACTCGTTCATAGCGAGCTGCCATCTTGGAACTCCTTTTATTTGATAACATGTAGTTCGTGCCATACGACACAAAGTAGGCAATTAGTGGGTTTTTTTTAATTGTGAAAATAAGTGCTTCTAAATATTAACCAGTGCTAAAATATAACATTAATTTCCTATGTTATGCCTAAATTGTGCACTCTTGTTTTTGCCTGCCTCTTTTTGTATTGGAACTGCAGAGGGCGTTCTATCATTCTATGCTGCATTCATCCCCCCCCCTGCTCTGTTCAGGTCAAGGTCCCTGACTAACCTTGCATCTTATGCCTCATTACCTCACTAAGGCACCGACCTCAACAGCCACAGGTTGATATTACCCTCCATTGTGGTTATACCATGGAGGAATGGGAAGGCCTTTTTTTTATTCCGCCGTATTTATATTGACCATTTAATTTCAAGGGTAGCCATATCAGCTCTTTTTGTGCATGCTTCAATTATTATGCTCATTAGTATTACATGTGGACTTTTCAGCATTACAAAGTCTCATCACCACGGCCTCTCCTCATACATCATATCAAAGACAATTTCATCGCCATCAGGAGAATGCAGCTTGTGTTGCTGTTGTAAATTCAGTGGGGAACTATTTTTAGAAGATCAAGGAAACATCCCTGCTGTCACATTTACCAAATTACTCCCCAGTTACAACTGACAAGAACAAAAAAGATAACTGTGAGAGATCTAAGACACAACTCTTGACATCTTGCAGTAATTTTATGCATGGATAGATGTGGGTGTTTTTTTTTTGTCGTTTGTTCAGTGTCACACCCAGGATGTGGCTGGAGGGCTCACAACTTTTTTTCAAAGTTTGTTTAGAAGTTTGAATTTTTCAAAAATGTTGCCCAAATTTGTTGACCGCAGAATTTGTTTGTTTGTTTGTTTTGGGGGGGGGGGTTTTGGGGGGGAACAGTTTATTTTAACGTTGGTGGTGCCATTTACACCCCTATTATACTACTCTAAAATAGGCTACATATCAACAAGGTGAAATTGTGGGACCAAAAAAAAATTGAACACCCCCCCCCCCAAAAAAAAATTGACAACCTCTTGGGGAGGGGGGGCTCAATCCCTCTGAGGGCCCCCCCCCCCCCCCCCCTCTTGGGTGCACCACTGCTTTCGTTGTCTTTTGTTTTTGAGCATTGTGTAGAGAGGGCATCGTTTCTTTTAATAGTTAAGAGGTAATTTGGATATTTTATTTTGTTGTTGTTTTGTGGGTGGATTACTTGCAGCACAACAAAAACTCTCTGCAACCAAGGTACTGTTACATGAAATGCAAATATAACATTTGTCACTTGTAGTCTTCACCATCATTTATTAAAACTGTTTTCTTAACCCTAATCTTACCAACTCCATCAAAATCCATCCCCCCATTTTGGGGAATTTTGGGGGATTTTGGCAGATAAGCCATTTGTTCCAAGTCCATCAAAATTCACCAGCACCAGATTTCAAAAGGTTTGGTCCTGAGGCATTTAGGTGAAGCAGAGTAAGTGATGGATTTTGATGGATGTGGTCTTCTTCTTCGTGAAACTATAGGTACATATTTTTGTAAGTAGGCAGCTAGGGTTAATCATCAGTGAAAACTCCTTTTTAGAGAGCAATTTTCTTTTATACAATGGCATGTTTTCTTGGAAGATGTAAGTCAGCCAGCGTTGCATCATCACTTCTCTGATGATGCTTGATTTCCTTGCTCTGTGGTTTGGCTCCGTCTTATTCCTCCACACATGTACAGTTTTGTAGCAGTGATCCTGCCTTGTACATGCATTATTACAAAATACAAGTAGGTATGCTTGACTAACCCCTCATCAATTATACACCACAACCCCCGTCTCAGCAATGGATCACTCCAGAATGAGACTAGCACCAACTCTTTTACAATGTACCCCTTCAAGCACTTAACTTTGGCCACAGAGCAATGGTACTACATCCAACGAAGCACCCACGTACTGATCAAGGGCACCATATCTAGTACTAGCACTTCAAGAGCTTTACAGTGTTTGAAGAAGAGTAAGAACATGCCCCTTCCAAATGTCCCCCCTCTGTACTTGTAATGGATCAATCCGATCAAAAAAGTGTAAGTCACCACTCATGCCACTGACTGCTAGCTGTAGGTATTACATTGTGTGCAGAGGACTTGTAAATGCCCACGGACTGTGACAGCTTTGAACACCATTCATTATGCTGTTGTTAGTTTGTGGTTTAGGTCGCACTGAAACCTGTATTGTCAAGCACTGGAAGTGTGGAATTATGTACCAACCACCTTGTCCATAGAGCCTGCTCTATGCTAGAACTACCTATGTACTACTAAAAGTACCAGTACTACATGAGCACTGCAGTGTTGTGGGAATCCGACCCCCAAATTTTTGTATCTGTTGAAGTAAGATGATCAAATGCTTGATGCGGCCGCGGTTTTGATCTGAGTGCATCCATGCAAGCGACGCCTTGCGCCTTGGACATTCATCAGGAGGATGCAGGAATCTCTCGGGAGCAACGCGAGGATTTTTCAGTGCTCATCAATGCTGATCGTTGCATCGTGAGGGATGACTGTCCGTCACGCATCACTGCAGATACTGATGGAACTGGACTGAATTCCAGGATCTTTTACCTTCTTCAGAACGGAAATCAGAGAGTTGAAACTTAAATACCACCCGATTTTTTTCTCAACTGCAATCATTTGTCGCCACGTCAAGGCAGGCTGCATATATTACGTAAGTTGTGCTCTACTGATGTTTCTGCTTGATTGAAGAATTTGTCTCTTTGCAGAGAAGATGTGTAGCTTTACTTTGACGCTATTGCTTTGCTGAACTTGCTGTATGCATGATGTACTTAACACGACTAACAAGCACAAAGCTGTACAAATTTTGCGGAACATTGTATAAAGGTGTATTATCACTGGCACTACGTACATGTACAGTGTATGTGAGTGCGAATTTTCTATCAAATTTGTTGCTTCATGAGAAATTAACCATACTTTTGTGTCATAATTGGAAAGTCTTACACTGTTTTGTATTACAGTTTCAATTGAATCAGGATTCACACAATCAACTTCAAGTTGTACTCTATTCTAATTAACAGTGTAGTTAACTTCAGGTTCTGTAATGTGATTCACTGTAATTGTTGTGTAATTGTAAATGAGCAAGTCAGGCTGAGGTAATAGTCAATGATTAATTGATTCATTACATAACTTACACCTGCAAACTACCAGTACTTTTAATAGTAATGTATCAATGTCTCCTGTCAAGCACTAGTCATAATGATCCTGTGTACATGCAGTTATGATGCATGCGATTACAGCTTGTGTCTGAGGCTCTGTCTTGAGTAGTCCAACCGTCTTGCAATTTGAGTGACGCCAGTCACATTATGGTTATTAGTATAGGTTTTCCCGGCTAATTTCCTAAAAATGTTCATTCACTTCTGAAAATCAGTCATTCATTTTCGTCTGAATTTGAGAATCGCTCTGAACACGCGTTTCATTTTCGCTACCAGAGCATTCGATTCCATTTCAGTTCAATCAATTAAGTGATTGAGCAGAACCTTTCGTTTATATCCAATCAGAATTGTTTACAAGACTTCTTTTTTTGCTTTTATTAGAGGGCAAACTCAAACATTCACCATTCTATTTCACTTTTAGTTCAATACCATTGGCACCAGATACAATTAGGGGTTTCTTTTTCATTAACTGTCAATCAAATTAGCTGTACCTGAAATCAATTTAGAATTTAGGTATGTCTGCGTAAATGAATGCAGTAACATAATTGGCCGTCTTTTTCTCAAAACCGAATGCACGAACAATGAAAACGATTGAACTTTAGTTGAATTGAA